GGATTAAGATATTCTAAATAAATGGCAAATGAATGAAATAATGTGCAAAATGGCCCAGAATGTTTAGGATTATCTGCGTGATAACCAATGGACAGAATCAGAGACACTGAAAATTAAATGCAGAGGCCCCTACACATAGTGTACATTGACTTCACAACTAATTTCACAGCTGGAGATAAGATCAACAGACACTTTTGTGACAGGCAGAATTGTGACACACCAATCAAGGTCACTTGTGAGTAGAGAGGGAATAGAATCCTGACAGAGCACTGAGAATGTATTACAATCTACATTGCTTACTCAGGAAATGGAAACTATTTGTTTCCAGTAGAGAATTGGCAGAATAATTTTGCTGCTGGACTGAACTGGGATCCAGAAAAGCTGCTCCTATTCATGGTATAGGCAGGTTGTTTCTTCTACTTAAGTGCAGTAATCAGGAAACAGAAGAGCTTGGACTATTACAAACTGGAGAGCTGAACAGGTGAAACGGGTGTAGAAGGAAACACTCAAATACTGTAAGTTGAATTCAGACTGGGTAAACTAAAACAAATGCAGAATTTGGCATGAATCGTATGCAACATGAGTTCGCAGCTAGAACAGCAAGGTATGTCAAAATATACCATTAGAACTTGCTAAAGTATTTAACTGAAGACTTGGGTACACCTACAAAATCACACGCCTTCCATAGTGTACTAATATACAGTTCATTCAGTAATAGTGCAACACTGTCTACATAGAAAAAAAGTCCCATTCATTTTTGTTGTGCTTCATCCCAGATGAGCATGTATACAACCCTGCAATTCTATTTTTCCCTTTAAAATGTTTTTAACTCCAACATGGAAAAGCATTCACCCTCTAGTGGCCAATTCACAAATAAAATAAAAATAGGGAGATGTGTCAAGCCTAGAGATGTTTGGAAAATTGCATCTCCCATGTCTCCTAGAAAGCACAAGAAACTTTTTTCAGCCATTCTCCTGACCCACCTTTTTCAAATATGGATGTGTTGAACTGCTGGACAGTCCAACGGCTTAGCTCTCTGGCTGCGGATCCAGAGTTTGGGAGTTCAGTTCCCCCTTGTGCTTCCTTGAGAGGAGCTGGCCTTGATGATCTATAGCAGTAGTCCCCAACCTTGGCCCTCCAGATGTTCTTAGACTACAGCTCCCAGAAGCTTTCACCACCACCTCTGCTGGCCAGGATTTCTGGGAGTTGAAGTCCAAGAACATCTGGAGGCCCAAGGTTGGGGACCACTGATCTATAGGGTCTCTTCCAGCTTTGCAGTTCAAAGGTTGTCAAAGGTTGTGTGTAGAAAGTGTCTTGGGGCTACACAAGGCTAGACATTGCCCAACAATGGTGTAGAGTAGTGGTTCCTAACTTTGGGTAACTGAGTTGTTCTTGGACTACAACTCCCAGAAACTCCAGCCAGTCCAGCTGCTGGTGAGGGGTTCTGGAAATTGCAGTCTTAAGAATACCTGGGTAACCCAAGGTTGGGAACCACTGGAGTATAGGATTAGGATTATTTATCCCATTCCCACAAATTTATAAGCTTTCATCCCCCCATGCCTTGTCTTTATAGTCAAATTGGACAGTATATTTCGCATGTATTTGAGAAAGTTGCTTCCTCAAGAGGTGAAAGACACCTGTTTGTCACTGCATGTGCTTTTCCTTACTCACACATTTTGAATTTAGCATGTTATGTTAAAGATCACTGCAAAATTGCTTCTGGCAGGAATATTTTGCAAAGTGCATTGTAGGGATGAATGACTATTTCATTCTGTGCTACTTTCAAAACAGTTTGATATATTTTTAATAATAATTCCATAATAATTGAATAAGCATTTGGGTAACAATTTCAGATGTTCTGAAAAAAGGGATGTGGTGACGCTGTGGGTTAAAAAGCAGAAGCCTCTGTGCTGCAGGATCAGAAGACGCACAGTTGTAAGATCAAATCCACACAATGGAGTGAGCGCCTGTCACTTGTCCCAGCTCCCGCCAACCTAGCAGTTTGAAAGCATTTAAAAATGTGAGTAAATAGGTGCCTCCTCTGTGGGAAGGTAATGGCATTCCATGTCTAGTCGTGCTGGCCATGTGACCACAGAAACTGTCTTCAGACAAACACTGGCTCTATGGCTTGGAAACGGGGATAAGAACCGCACTCTAGAGTCAGACATGACTGGACTAAATGTCAAGGGGAACCTTTACCTTTACCTAACAATTTCTCAGTTTCATTATATTTGAGATGAAAAGAATTTTGAGATTAGAGGGGAAAAAACCTTACTGGAGGGAAACGAAAATTGTTAGATTTGTCCATACAGGCAAAACGCTTTGAGTGCTTTAAAAAAAAACAACAACCTGGATGTGAAAGTCTGTATGTTCAGCCATATTTGTGGTGCTGGCTTGAGCACCATCTCTCCACTAAACAAGAGCAACGTTGCTGGCTGGTCAGTGTTGTGAGGCTTTTCAGCTACTTCAGCACTGTCCAGCTGGTGATGTTGTTCTTGCTGGTGCAGGGGCAATGGCTTGGTTTTTGCGATATGCTGAGTGGACGCAGATTCTCAGCTGCTGCCCCAACACCAGCTCTGTCAGTACCCTGGTAGCCTCCTAGAACTGGCCAGCCAACAGCTAGAACTACATGTCCTGCTTTAATGGATCACATTAAAACAGGATGTGTATTTCAAGTGGTTTCATGCCTGCCTGCAGATAACCCACGGTAAAAAAGCTTACTGTGGGTTATCTGCAAACTTGTAGTTCCTGCCCAGCTGCATCTGGCTGGTGCAAATGATAAAATGTTTTGTTTCAGCTCATTACCAAAATTTGCAGATTTCTTTACATCTAGGACAGAAAGAACTGGGCAGTGAAAGAACTCAAATGGAAGGGAATGTGAAACTTATTTTATTTGTTTGTACAGGTTTCCTCAGTGCCCTTATTTTACCATCTCACCATGCCTAAGTGCATGTACTCTGAAACTGCAATACTTTCTGGAAAGGGACACTGACATTGCTAACAGCATCTGGGCATTTGTTAAAGTCTTAGGCTGTGAAGTGGGATGCATTTCTGGTCCTTATGCTAGAGCTGAAGTGGACCCCAGACATACATATTCTTACTATCTCTGGCCTTTAACATGCCTATAGATGAAGTCTTTGTGTGGATCATCAAAGGGATCGTCCTGGGTGTTTCCAGGAAGAATGCAATGGAACCACTTATAGGGAGAAAAAGCGTGGGATTTTCCTGCTATGATGAGAGTTGTATGAGCCACAAAGACTGAATGCTGCTTGTTTAGAGACCGGGAACCCACGTCAGTCACGGTCCCCCTCTCATCCCACATACTTCTTGCCTGCTTGCTTTTTATGAAGTCATATTAATGTGTAACAGCAGCTGTTGTATGTTTGAGCTAACTGGAAGTCAATGCCCATTGCATCATAGGTTCTCTTCTGGGAAAAGGGATGTGTGAGCACAAGTGTAAGAATTGTGGGGGCACAATTCAGCTCTCTCAAATCTTTAAAGTGACTTCTGGGCAGAAAGAATACCAATGGTCAGCTTCAGCACAGCCTGGTTTTCTGAAGAAATGATGTCATCCAACTTCATTTTTCAAGTAAGGGAATAAAACCACACATCACATTCATAGGAAATCCCTTGCTTCACCTCTGATGATGGTTAACTGTTCCATCATTTCGTATTCTGGTTTTCATGGTTCCTAAAAATAATTTTGTCCACATATTTGGTTTAAATAGTGATGGCAGGTAACATTGTGGCCAGGGTGATCTAAAAGAAAACAACAACAACAACCCAAAGCTGTAACAAGACAAGTAATTACAGAAACTCCATTCTCTTCTTTTCTCATAGGTGACTGAAGCAAAGGAGTAATTCACACTACAGTGTTGGAGTGACTCCTCCTTGTTCAGATCAGATGTTGCCACTACTTATCTTGCTTGCTTTTTTTAAAAAATAGATCAGGTTCTTCTATAATAGATACAAAACAAAAAACAAACAAACAAAAAACTATTAACAATACCTCATTTTTGTAGGGTAAATATAAAGTAACCCAGAGTTTTGGTACCGATTATAATTTTTTTCTACATTTCTTTTATTATAGGCTTTCTTATTGTTCTAAAGGGGTCTTTCTTTCTACTTTGACTTTTTCTGACTCTTTTTCCTTCATAATCTGCTTAAATTCTTTTTGTCCTTAAAAAAAAACAAGGAAGGGTTAAAGCTGTCTGAGCAGTGAGAATGGAGACATAACCCAACCTAGAGAGACAGAAGGGTGCATTTTATACTGTAGGAAAGATTTTTAGGTGGTGTCAAGGGAAGAGATAGTGGGAAACAACTAAAAAGAAGTTCTGGGGAATTCAAGGGGGAAAGTCATCTTATATGGTCAATATGACCAGATAGGCGGGGTATAAATGGAATAAATAAATAAATAAATAAATAAATAAATAAATAAATAAATAAATAAATAAATAAATAATATATGGAGAATGATTTGGAAAAAGGGAAGGGGAAATCAGAACCTAGAAAATGCCTATTGTAGGGTATAATAAAAATCTGAGAACTTGACTTAAGTTCTTAACTAGATCAGATCTTCCTCTAAGGACCCATTTAATTGTTTTGCTTTATGCATATTCTGCAATGCAGATTTTTGTAGACCACACAATATGTGTTATATATTCTATATAAGTTACAGTTGGACTTTGGTAGCCCGGCTCTTAGATCAAGTTTCAGAAGAAGCACAGTGAGTGTATGAGTACACAGTGAGAAAAATTACCTGCTATGAAGTCAGGTTTCCTTGGGTAAATTCACATTAACTGGCAACACAGTGAAAGAAGTGGAAATTGACAACCTTCCCCTCTCACTTTGTTAATGTAGCTTTCTTGTAGCCTTTCTATTTTGTGGAAGGCGTGGCTACGGAAGAACTATTTTATTAAGAATGGTCTTAATAAGCTGTAAACAAGGGCTGAGTGTGAATTTCCTTCTCTGTTCTCATTCTCTTGTTCTCTCTCTCTCAGTGTCCCAATGCTCTAGCGCAACAGCACTGACACCAAGACTTTAAAATAAGGTAAGAAATAGCAGTGTTTGCAGAGATCCAGCCCTTCCAGTGTTTTGACCCTGCGTCCCCATCCATTGTGCCACTGAATGAATGACTAGCACTCCTGAGTACATATCTGTGCATTGCTTCAAGCAACCACACTACTTAAACTGATGGAAATTGATTGACTGTGAAAAAAAGTAGAAACTCCAGTGGTGGAGGAAAAAACTGGAGATGGAAAATCTGGCCTGATTCACATTGGCTTTTTACATCATATGGTCAAAAAGAAAAAAAGTGTATCAGACCATCCCAACCCTCTAGTATTTTCAGCATTAAATATCAGTGTAGTCACACTGGAAGACAGGTACGTCACGCAAGGTATTTTACCACCCAAAGTTAATAAGATATGTTAATCTTGTGATATGCGTTCTCCAACATATCACAAAAACAGACTTGACCAGTAATTGGGTTAAACTGTATGTCCACACTGGCAAAATGACACAACATACATAGTGAGCACAGGATGAGCTACATGGTAGGCACAACTTTGTCATCAGATACGTCATTGCTGCTTCCAACCTGCACCCCCACCATCATTTCTGTCTGAGACAACCGGCTCACTCCGGTTAATTACAGGATCAGCCCAGGAATCCTGTACTGCATCTGAATTTTACAGTCATATTTAGTATAATTGTAATTGAGAACAGCTCTCCTTGGGGCAAAATAGATCACCCATTCTTAACGGGGGCCATATAGCCAACGGAGGGGGGCTGGCACATTTGAAGGGGGCACAGACTTGAAACAACACATCACCTTATAAGGTTTGTTATGTGGCTTATATTTTACATACATACATATACATACATACATACATACATACACACACACACACAGACACGCGCACACACACACACACACACCCCACACACACACACACACACACACACACGATTCAACCTATTTTCTTTCTTTTCTTTTCTTTTCTCTTTTTTACGTGGTCATAGCCTCCCCAAAAAGAAAAAAAAAGTGAGAATGGCTGAACTAGATGATAGAGTTGGCACATCATTTTAAAAGGAAAATCCATTAAAAAATACAAGACTGTATGTTTATTCTTAAATGCATTTCACTCAGTTCACACTTTATATATTAGCTTGCTTTATTTGTAATTACCATATTTTTTCTGTGTATACGGAAATGTATAAGACAGCCCCCTAATTTTGTCCCTTGCCAGAGGCGGAGGAGCAGTCAATGGGCAGCCGCGAGGGATGGCTCCGCCTCCTGCTGTTGCTTCCTCTGCCACCCAATCATGTCACTGCCTTGTCACCTGCCTGAAGGGAGCCCGCTAGTGGAGGAGGCAATCCGGCAGCGGAGGCAGCAGCAGCAGCAGGAGGAAGAGGCGGATACAAAGGCAAAGGAGCAGCTGTGCTCGGCCGCTGCTCGCTGCTACCCACTGACTGCTGCCACTGCCAAACGGCCTCCTCCAGCGCCACTTGAAGGCTCCCTTTGGGCAGGGAACAAGTTGGCAATGTGAACTGGAGGTGAGCCCTGGCAGGGGGAGGCGGCGATCTGGTGGCAGTGGCAGTAGTCAATGGGCAGCTGCAAGATGTGGCTGAGCTCGGTTGCTCCTTTGCCTCCTCCCGTGTACAGAACGACCCTTTTCGTCTAATGATTTTAGAAAAAAAGTGTCATTTTATACATGGAAAAATACGGTAATCCTTGAGAGACAGACTTCATGGACTTCATTTGCTTTTGATTGTCAAGTCATGGAGCTTTGAAGGATTTGCCTGTCTAGAGGGAAAATGTTTTAAAAGTGGGAAATATATGTTTCCCATAATACATGCTATAACCCATTATTTTCAGGTTTTGTTGTGTGTAGCAATCGCTCCCTTAACAAGCTCTGAGAGCTGTGATAGATTTTTAACATCATCCATTCTAAGGAGCCCAGAAAATACACTCTACACAATATTCCCCCACCCCGATCTTCACCTTCCCCCCTGTTTGCATCCCAGCCAGGAGAAAAGCTATCCTGCCATACCATACAGCTGGCTGTTGCTTGCCAGTTGAGATGCTAAATGCCAGGGATAAAGAGCTTGTGGAAAGATAATAAAGCAAAGGGGAGTAAATTAAAGTAGATATAAATAGCACCAGGAGAAAGGAGAAGGGATGATGTCACCCATATTTACATAAGCTGGTATTTCTATCCATTCTGTTACAAGAATTCCTCTCTCCTCCATCTTGTGTTGGAAATGGTTAAAGGTGGAGCTGTGTAGTTCTTTATATACAGTCATTTTTAATCTGCAGTGTGACACATGATCCCTCCACTTTGGGACATACATTGAATTCAAATGATCTGACAAAGATGCTTTAAACATGCATCGCACATCTCTGTGCAAAGTTCAAACACGACAAAGTGACTGTATGATTATCCCAGAATGTGCTCCCTGGATTGCGCCTTAACTTGTTGCAAAGCCTGTTGGATGTGAATCACGTGATGGCAGGTTCAGCTGTGGAAGTGAAATCTTTTTTACACAAAGAAAATGCAGAACAGCTTCATACTGAGCTTGACATAAATAGTTCAGAGTGTCAATATAAAGAGTGATTGCAGAGGCTATAGACAATGTGAAAATTGGAACTAGTACTGTACAGGAAACAAGAGCAGGCAAAACATCCAATTCATGGCCTTTCATGGGAACCTAGGAAAGAAACTGCCTTTTACCATATCAGAAAAGATCTTGGAAAAGTTACTTTCTGAGACTCTAACTCTCAGAATCTCCAAGCTAACATGGCCATGGCCATGCTAGCTGAGGCATTCTAAAAGGCGTAGACCAAAATGTAAAAGTGTTAACCTCTGGATCAGATTATTTTGCCTCTCCAGGCCAGTATTTTCTACTCCTTGGAGACTCAAACAGAGACCTTTTCTATCACCTGCTACCTGATGCTTTAAAACTGGAGATGTCAGGGAAGAAGCCTGTGGCCTCCTGCCATGCAAGGTGGGAATTATATCCCTGACTTATCAACAAGAACCCCTCCCTCTTTGCATTCTTTGCCTCACTCATCCCATCTAAAGTTCTGTGACACTGCTTGTTAACAACAGCCATTTTATCTGAGGCTAAAAATAGTGGTCTGTTCAAGGCCATTGAGTTGAAGGCTGAGAAACCCCCCTGCCAGTTTATCTGTTGCATGCGGTCAGATGCAGGAGATGAGTCAGCATTAACTAACACAGAACAATGTTCTTTTCCCGGCTCTCCCAAAGGTTATGGAAAAATCTAAGGCCATTTTACTCCAATGCCAAAGCAAGGTCATGTTCCGATTTCACCTATTTATATGGTAGTTGCACAGAGGCCTTTGTGTTACTATAAGGTATTTATAGTATGCATATGTATAATTAAAAGCAAGACTTCATGTTGGATGAGGATGTATGTGGTTAATGGGACAGGATATGGCAAAGCGGCTTGGGCCTCTACTTTTCACACTAACATTAATACCACAAGCTTTTTATAGCATCTCTATGACCACTCATGGTTTCGAAAGAACTTTACAAATATGGAATGAAGCCTCACATTGCTAAGGTGTGATGAAAACGAGAATAAAAGAATCTCATAATTTAGACATACAGTATAGAGGATGAAAGGGACAATTCAAGGTTAAAAGATCACAGCAAAATTAGGAACCACCACACTGATGGAAGTCCAGAAGGCTCCTGTTCCTGACGGCTTTAAATATTAGAATAAGGGCTTGGGGCAGAGAAAACATGAAAGAGCTTGGGTAGTTGTTTGGTTTTGCATTTCAGTTTTGCATTGTGTGCATGAAATATCCAGTTCCCAATCCAAGAACCTAGAACCAAATTAGGGTCAGGCCAGTTTTGTCAGTTGACACGGTTCGCATATTCATTTATTTAACTTCCTCCTGTCTTTTCTCCCTCTGGAGGGATTGGAGGTGGCTTACAAATAATTTAAAAACACAAATATTAAAACAATTACAAATACCTTTGAAAACACATTATTCAAAATCAATTAAGCATATTAATTATTAAAAGCTATTAAAAGAAAAATCAGTTTAACATAATTTTAAAAACATTTTAAAAAATAAAAGGGCAAGTCTCCCCTTAAAATCCCTTCTTCACCAGCAGTTTACACACAAAGATGATTCTCTTGGGCATTTGTACTAGCAGAAGGCAGTGATTCCTATGGGGGAATTTTGCTGGACAATGTTTGGTCTCTGCTTTGCAAACCGATTTTTGCTAGATGATGATCTTGACAGCTCCCTCCATGCTCGCAAACAGGTGTTTTCGGGACCTAAGCATCGCAAGACAGTGATTTAAACAGCTGATCGGCAGTTCACAAAGCGGCTTTCCTATGGCTGATCTTCGCTAGACAACGACGATTCTTCCCCATTGGATCGCATTAAACAGGTTTCAATGCATTCCAATGGGGAAATGCTTTTCGCTAGACAATGATTTCGCTAAACAGTGATTTCAGTGGAACAGATTATCATCATCTAGCGAGGCACCACTGTAAAGTAAAAAAGTAAAAGTCAGGAGACTTCGCTTCCTCCTGCCTTATGGAACTGATGTCAGCTGATGCTGTACAAACCGATTGGAACACACCTCATTGGAGGCGGAGCCTGTAGGCAGTGCTCAGATTCAACAGGGACTCGTAATGTCTGACGTTCTGAGCTCAGAGGCTGAATACTCAAAGCAAAGTTTTCTTAATTTTTGGGTTAGAAAAGTGGGAGGGGTATCTTATAAATGGAAAAATACGGTAGTTTGGAACTCTCAGCCACATTTCAAGTAGAATAATATACAAAATGCACAGGGCAGGACAGGAAAGGCAAGGACAAGACAGAGATGCTCCTGGTTAGTCGAATGACAGATCAAGGTATAGGGATCCAGCCAGTGCTGGATGGGGTTACCTCTGAAATCATGGGTGCACAGCTTGCATGTACTCCTGTATTTGTCTCTTCGTCTGGATGCCAGGTTTCAGTGGTAGCCGGCAGTGCATTTGCACAGTTAAAACTAGTGTGCCTGCTGTGCTCATTTCTTGAGAGGACTGATCTGGCCACAGTGACGCATGCCTT